ATCGCCTCTATTGGAACTCGGGATTGGTGGAAAAAAGTGGATAAAACATCTCAGCGCCGCAAGCCGGTGATTTCTCTATCTCTTGGCCACTACGAACTCAACGCGTTAAATGACTACTTTGGTGACCTATGTACTGACCACGCCTACATAAAGCCAACACCTCTGGAGATTAGTGAAGATCAGGAAGTCCCAGAAATCTCAGAGCGACAAGTCCTGAATTCTCTTATGCGTATAAAGAAAACAGCAACCGGACCAGATGGCATCCCGTATACTATATGGAAAGACCACGCCGAGCTATTCGTTCCAGTGATCACCAGGATTTGGAATCTGTCTCTTAGAACACACGCCTGGCCTGTCTCTTGGAAAAAGTCAGACCTGTACCCCTTGCCGAAGGTTGATATACCTAAGGGAATATCAGACTTCCGCGGAATAAATGTGACACCTGTCATCGCAAGGTGCTTTGAGAAAGCTGTCTTAGGAACACACGCAAGGGAGACCTTCGATGAACATTCTGGGATCTCACAGTTTGCATACATAGAGGGAGGGAGCTGTACCAATGCTCTACTGACTATCCAACATACTGTCAATCAATATCTTGATATCCCAGAGTGCAAAGCGGTACGCCTATTCGCTATGGATTTCAGCAAGGCTTTTGATAGTGTGAAACACGATCTCCTCTCACACAAATTGAAGCAACTCCCCCTAAATCCTTTTATAGTTAACTGGTATCTAAGCTTTTTGGAAGACAGGCAGCAGAGAGTCATTAGAAATGGGTTTATTGGAAAATGGAAAAGTGTCAACAAAGGTACCACCCAAGGAAGTGTCAGCGGGCCGCACTTGTTCAATGTCTTTCTCAGTGATTTAGAGATACACTTGGACAATAAGAGCGTGCTGGTAAAATATGCAGATGATACAACCATTATCTCGCCTGTGATAGGTGATAATGACAATTCTATCGCACTGATTAATCAGTTTTCCCAGTGGTCTAGAAGTAATGGTATGTGTAGCAATCCATCTAAGTGCAAGGAAATCATTTTCCGCAAGAAAGGTTGTACAATAGAGTTTCCGATGGTGTCTGGAATACCACAGACAAAAGAGCTTACTATTTTAGGGGTAACATTTCAGGAAGACAGTAGGTTCATAACACATATTCGGGAAAAACTAATCAAAGCAAACAAGTGCCTGTTCATTTTAAGATCTTTAAGGAAAGAAGGGTACAATCAGGCCGAAATAGACCATCTGTTTCTAAATCTGGTTCTACCAAATATATTATACGGGCTGTCCGTATTTGGCGCTGTAAATTCCGAATTAACAACAATCCAATGTTTCTTAGATCGATGTTATAAGCGCAAGTATACATCCGACCACATTAATGTTTATGAATTGTTAGTTCAACAGGACACACGTATCTTCAAGAATGTTTTTAATAATACAATACACCCTTTAAGAGCTATAATGCCAAAAAAGAAATCAACCAAGTACAATCTGAGGAAAGAGACAAGTCACCATCCTAAAATAAACACTGATAGGTTCAAAAACACGTTTGTCAATCGCTTAATTTTTAAGCATAATCTAGTCTTATAATTTTTACCTTGATTTTCTCTGTAATTTATATATATACCTTCTTTTAATGTTGTAACATAGGATATGTGATTATTTATCTTATGACTTAATAAAGATTCAATTTAATTCAATTCAATTCAATTCAATTAATAGAAATAAGATACCCGGCGCCCAAATTGTAAAAAGGTTCACAATGTAACACCATCAGTTAGGCCAAAATACATCTCAACTGGTATTATCAGCTTAATGGAAAGTCGTTTACTGTCTCTCACTTTAATCATAAGATACTTTTATTTTCAGCCTCTATTGACTATGAATTTTTCAAGGCTGTTCTGCACGAACGGAACTCAAATTTACCTTATCTCGTCGCAACTTTCGATAAATTCCTTGGAAATCTTATGATCATGCAGCATTTTCTCTAAGATGCTCTCGTTCCTTTGCTGTACGGAAAATTCTTTTACATCTTCGTCATTTACCACAAAAAATCGTGCCATTGAATATTCCAAATAATAATCAAACCGTGTTCATTCAGCAAAATTTGAAAACGCGAGAATTGTCGTCTCTCGTGTTACCTACTCCACTCGGTTCCAGGATGAAGTTATCTACGAGTATTCTAGTTCTCGATAAAACACTCACGTCCATACGATAAATAACCAAATTCAGAGATATTTACGTGAGCAATGTTTTTTGGTTGGTTTGAAACTTAGGCTTAAGGAGTTTTTGTTATCCGTTACAGAGGAAACAGAGGAAGGGGCCTGGAGCATAGATGATGTAACAGCAATGTTTCAATCGCCAGAGGAGGGAAATCGTTGGAAGGTTACTTTTCAAGAAGGAGTGAATTTCATTGAGGACATTTTCAGAGGATATCATTATGATAATACACCAAAAGAATTCCTCGACTACGCCGCAAGATATGACTTAACATTCCTCACTCCATGCAGTCGTCAAGTGAGATGTAAGGTGGGTCGGTTTCACGGAGCGATTAAAATGGCTGTGGCCTGTTTTTCGAAATTCCCGGTAACTAAGTTGTCTCCGTTGTAGAGATTTCTCTGAGACTTTGATTCTGCCAACGCAAATCACGTGTTTGGTAAAATTAAACGCCATTTTTCTAAATTTATAGAGGATTTAAAGACTGGGTGTATATTTATTGTTATAGACCGTGCTTATGGTAACCTACCCAAGCCAAGATGAATGAGTATAAATACGCCACAACTACGTGGATCTTGCCCTACTTTTCAAGTACATCAAGTTTCCCTGTAGTGTTAAATCAGCGGATGATGTTAAGCTCTCCAACGGCCGCACAAGATGGTCCAATAGATATCAGATTTGGATCACTCTGCACCCCAAAATTATCATACAATTATAGGAAAGCCTCACCAAGTAATGTCGTAATTCCTAGGGTCAGGTTCTTGTTGGCTTGAAGATTGAAATCATCCCTGTCGGCACTCTATTTAAATCTCACAATTTGCATTCCAGTCCCATTTTAGTGACATCAAGAACATCCTGAAAAAAGTTCACTTTACCGATGAAACCACTCGGTCGCAAAGCCGAGGCTGGATAGTTCTCCCATCGCGAAGATATTTGCAAGCAGATATTTTATTTCCCGGATGCGAGTTCGATTGCAGACTCACCATACGTGAGCGAACAGGTAGGTTTCGTGTAACTATAATTGGTTTGTCCATCCCGAAATGAAACAAACAGCTCTAAGGGTCTACAGATTTTAATACCATGAAAGGATAAGAAATGATTCTCCAATTGAAGATTCAAATGCACCGCTCTATTTCAGCATTTTAATCTGATCCATGTTCTTGATTTTAATGATGAAGCAACGAATTTCTGGCTAGGGTCATAAGCCTAGAAATTTTTCCGCGTTGTGAAAATCAGCGGGCTTGCAGAAAATTGCTCTATATTGTATATCAAACCAAGATCAGCTCGATCTGGAATTATTCTTGTTGCTTTACTGATGGTTGCTCCTGGTATGTATGTGCATTTTGTGTTGAAACAGGGAATGCAACAGATCTGGACCATGTACCCAAAGAAGATGTAATACGCGTGTTGGCAGATTATCTTTCTGAGATTACTTTGAAGGAAGACGATCAATTTGGACTAAAACTACCCCAGAAGATACCAGAAGGATTTCATTTAACCCACAAGCGGTTTTCCAAACGAATTGTTTACAAGTCTAAACCAGGTTTCAGTGTCATTCTATCGAGGGAACGATCGTGGCGCTTTGCTGTGGATGATAAAGGATCCACAGAATCGGTATTGACTACTAGATAAAGACAACAGAAATTGAAATAGGACATAATCAATAAAACTACACTACGAAGACGAATTTTTTTCTCAGCATTTTTTTAAATATTATTTCCACAACTAAAAGGAATATACTTAGACTACATTCAAGGCAGGTGGCATTCTAAAATTTGGGATATTTATATCCTAACCCTCTGAAAAGTTGCTTGAGGCTACTCACAGATAAATTAATTAAGCACTCCTCCGATGGGTAATCGTTTTTCGGTTTAAAGCCTACGACATTTAAAACGGAGACCAGTACAGGCTTTTAAATACGAAAAACATAAATTGCAACGTACCTAACCTAAAAAGATTACGATGAAACAGCTGTTTTAGGGAAGTGAAAGGAGGGGTATGGTGTGTTAAAAAAATGAAACTCTATGGGGGTACTAATTAGAGGGAGGCGCTTAATAGAAATGGTGCTTTTCATAGCGTCTGCGGCAGTGTTACGGATATTGTGAAAGCACTGGTATCGCTTTGTGACGGTGCAATGTGTTGTGGATATTAGTCGAGCACGCCTTCGTGAAACGGCGGAATATTGATTTTGTCTTAATTCAGGATAGTCGTAATCTATGAGGTTTTGAGGGAATTCTCTAATAAATTAAAGGGTTTTTCTCTCTACACACTATCTAGGACAATCTCGACCTCTTACATCGTTGGAAGGAGCTGCTGGTCATATGATGATTTCGTTTTATTTTCATCCGTGTCTGATCTACACCTACATTGCGAATAGTGGGACAGGTTACACAGTAGTGGGCAGTGGGAACCCGAGATGATTGTCAGAAAGTTACCCGATTTTCTTGAATTTGTCAAGGAAGTTCAAGGCTTTGTTGTTGGAAAGATAATGAGAAATGGGCTAGAAAGGATAGGTCAGTGGAATATTTTAGTTTTACTAAGATTATTCTTAAATGATGTGTTAGCACGTTTCAGTAGGAAATATGTATTTCTCGTTGTTAGACATCGGTTACAGTAAGACAAAGAAATAAAAGTAAATGTTAAGGTAGGTGATCGAATAAATAAGCTGCCATTCTTTTGTCACCAGGGTGGGACAGAGGAAAACATCTGAGTTAACTGCGAGGATTTAAACATCCTGAGACCCGATTTTGCTATCCACTGATACCTTTGGCTAACTTGGTTAACTCCAGCGAATTCGTCCTTTGTTCACCCACGTGTTCTTTGGAGCTTAGTGACCTTGGTGAAGTCAAAGATCATTGTCCGCAATATCTGAAACTCGAATACTCGCCGAAGACTCATACTGCATGTCTCTTTGACATAAAAAAATTGACATATCTCTTTGGTATAGTTGTGCGATGTTGTTGCACTCGGTATACGAGAGGTACTGTAACACCGACAGAACCGTAAAAAATAGGCCATCAAGTAACTGCCCATCAATTTTCAGCCTTTTCAGGCTCATCTTGCATCTGGATATGGCAGTCTTTTGAAAAAGCTCGCGAAATCCTTACCATTATCATTATGAATAGAGTTTTTTTCTTTACCTGCTCTCAAACATGCAGTTCCTCCAGAGATTCTTGCAAGAGGACCTCTCGCTTTACAAGCCTATTACCACGCCCTGGATGAAGGAAAGGTCTGCGATAGAAGAGTACCGCTGATGTTGGTTGGACAAGACCGATCCGGAAAGACTAGCTTGAAGAAATCGTTAAAGGGCATGTGTTTCAACGCAGAAGAGGAGAGCACGGTGGGGATCGATCTAGATCCGAATCCTTTTGAGGTGACCACGGAAATGTGGATTACAGGAAAAAAGAATGAAGAGGGGGACATTGATCAAGAAGCTATTTCATTTGAGCAAACTGCAGCACGGTTGGCTGATGACACCCTAGGGAGCTTAAGATACAGACGTTTTCGGGGCGACGGCGACGTGGAGGTCGATTAAGATTGGGGCGAGATTGACTGCGCATGCGGCCCTGCCGTCGCCCTCACGTCGGCGACGTGAGATCAGTGAGCTCGCTGTCATGGTAAAAACGTGAGTTGATTTTGTTTTTGTTTTTTTTTTTATATATTGCCAATTTTGTCACTTATATTAAAGTGATTGCATTATCACATTTTGCACAAGTCATCACACGATGTCTCGGCCAACTCAAGAGACCTTTTGTTTTCTCTTTTGGTTAAAGTGACCGAAGCAACAGTTAAGTCCAAATCGTCGAGGTAAGTTTTGGGTACGTACGCGTACAATACTTGAATTCTTACCATAAAAGGGGATTTTTGCTTGCTGCCATTCCCTTTATCAATTCGTAGATGCACCTCGCAAACGTACACCTCAGATCTATGGAGGTTTTTTTAGCTTAGTGCGTAGTCTTGGACTGAAACGTCAT